GCAACTTAATTAAATAGAATAGAGGTGGCTGAGAGGTGATGTGTTGCAGCTGTGGTATGTGGGAGCTGGTGGATGCTGAAGCAAACTGTAGTGACCACATCTGAAGCAAGTGTCAGATGTTTGAGGAACTTTAATTCCGGGGCTAAGTTGGAATCTGAGTTGTGAACACTGACAAGTCAAGGAAGTACCAGGGTATGTATTTTTAAAGGGGCAGTCAATCCCCTTAAGAACTAATTACATCAAAGTAGGTATGTAGTCAAGGCCAGGAGTGTGAGACTGCATGCGAGGAGGTATTAGGATCCAGAATTTAGCTCAGAAAGTCTTAGCCATTGTGCGTCAAGGTTCTTGTTCCTGATGTTGACAAGGGCACACACTTCAGGCAGGAGGAGTGAACTGACCAGAGCACTTTGGTCCATTCCCAAATAGTAATAGAGGATAGCATTGTTTGGGGGAGTAGATACTGTGTGTGCAACAAAGACAAGAGTCCTAAAGGCTATGTTGCCTACATGGAACCAAGATTCAGGGAATCTCTTTTGGGCTGGAGAGGAATTTAGAGCGGGAGGCGATGGTGTACACCAACAACTTATGTAGAATTGGAAAGAGGTTTTGCTGAGGGATTACAAGCAATCCAGGGCTAAATTACAAAGTAAAACCACCAAGGTACTAATCTCCAGATGCAAATTGGCATTATTCTTGTCTAATTTATTTACCCAAAAGGTGCTAAATAGTCTACTCCTTTTCCTGCAATGGGACTTATTGGATTGCTCAGTGTAGCACACAGGAAGGACTGGGTACAGATTACAAGCAGCTAAGGAAGGCCACCCAATTTGCAGTTTATCAATTTAAATGAAACACATATGGAATAAATACTGCTCCTACAGGCAGGTGGCTCCCATTGATTTTCCACCATACAGATGAAACCTCTGTGAAGAGTATGTTCTTCCGTCAGTGCACTTCAGCCCTTTCAGAAGTTGTAGGATAGTGCAGCTGATCATACTGTATGAGCTGCTGCTCACGCCGAGGATTACTGCCATGGATCATCTTTTGAGGTTTCAGTAACTACAGGATATGCTTGGACTGGTGTGGTTGAGGAAAGCCACTGCCTGGTTGAACTAGAAAAGTCCAGCTTATTTCACATTAGAAACTAGTTACAGGTTACATTGATCATAGGGGAGGACCTGATGTTTTGACGTGCTCCGAGATCGGAATCCATTCTTGCCCATAAGTCTATGTGGCATCGGCGTAGTGGGTGGATATTATGGCCTTCCTCACCATTAGCCCTTTCAGACCCATAAAACATAGAACAGTACAGCACAGTACACGCCCTTCGGCCCACGATGTTGTGCCGAACTTTTACCCTAAACCTAAGGTCTATCTAACCTCCACCCCCACCTTATACTATCATCCATATGCCTATCTAATAGCCGCTTAAATGCCCCTAACGAGGCAGACTCCACTACCCTCTCCGGCAATGCATTCCACGCCCCTACCACTCACTGAGTAAAGAACCTACCTCTGACGTCTCCCCTATATCTACCTCCACTCACTGTAAAACTATGCCCCCTTGTAATAGCTACCTCCACCCTTGGAAAAAGTCTCTGGCTGTCCACTCTATCTATACCTCTGATCATTTTGTACACCTTAAACAACTTAATTGACCTGCATTTCTTCAGTTCTGCACATTTATAGTCAAAGCTCTGATTTTAATCAAAATTAGTATAAAAACAAAAAAGGAAAATTTGAGACAATATTTTTAAAATCAATTTATTATGTATCAACACAAAAGAAGAAAAGCCTGCAGTCAAAAGTAATTGATCACTCAATAAAGTGGTGTTTCTGCACAAATTGAACAGCTCAGTAATTATTCTCAACGCATCCATAGGAGCTTATGTTGTCAGTTTTGGTGTGGAATTTACTGTTTATGTAATGTAACAAAACCAGGCAACACAGGATCTTGCAGGAATGTAAACATTGCAATTTCAATTCACATTGATGTCAATCACCACAAACTACTCAAACTCAGTCAAAAGTTTGGTGAAATAAGGACAGTTACTGCAAATAGACAGCTTCGTAAGTGAATATCTTTGTAGTTTTTTTAACAACGTGCATTGCACCTTGAAATATAATTGAAAACCTGAGGCAGGCACTCAAACAATACAAGAGGTCTCGAGAATGGCTTTAAACTGTTTAAAAAAAAAAACTGAATTTTAGCAAAAAAGACAAAATTAGGACAAACTAAATAAATTCCGGCTCAATTTCTTCAAGTAACTCCATTTGAGTTTTGTAATTTGGCCGAAAAAGTCAATGTTATCTGGCAAAACAGCAGCTCCTAGTCCTGAATTGTTCATTGCTTTGTTTTTTTTTAAACTTAGGTACATCAATTAATGAAGAAGTAAAGTGCCATCTCTGGCCTATGAAAGAAATATATAGTTAAAAAATGTCTAAGGCTTTCTTTTGTACTAATATCTCAAGATTAGAGAAAAATTGGGGAAACATGAGTGAGATTGTGGTTCTTGGCAGGCAAAATGTGCTACTTTAATAAGGATAACAAATCTGGTACTGTCCAAATATGTCAAATTTTTATTGGTTATCAACAAATATTGAATCATTTCAAATTGGTAAACATTTGAACAGCATCAGTCTGAGAACGCCACTCTCAGCATGAAATAAGAATTCCATACCAAAAGCAAACACTTTTCTGTAACAAAAACAGAAATTGCTGGAAAAGCTCAGCAAGTCTGGCAGCATCTGTGTAGAGAAAGCAGAGGGTCCAGTGAGCCTTCACTTTTCTGTCTGACTGCCTGCCTGCGTTTTTTTGGGGGGAGGGGGGTGAAAGCAGGAGGTTTAGAATGCCTTCCTATCAAATTTCCACCCTCATTTCCTGAAGGAACTGGTTTCTTGTGATTTAGTTTCATTAACATTGGCAGCACTCTTGGCACCTTGCCTTAGTAGCCATCGCTACTAGGGATAATTTGATGATCAAGCCTCATGCAGCCAACACAACCTAGGGAGTAAGCCCAGCCAAGTCCAGCTTGGTTGTCATCATTCACCTTTCCACTGGATCACTGGTTAGAATCAGGGATTCTGGTCATTTGTCCTCCCCCATTTCCCCCATCTTGCCGTGGGGCGCTGAAACCAGCTGTAGCATCTGACCATTGCTCTCTGACTGAAATCACTGAACTGCACTTGGGAGTCCCTTGGTTAATACATGTGAGTACCGTAGCTGGCAGTGCATGTAATTGCTGAATCAGGTGTGCAAGATTTAATAATCTCAAAAAGGACAATGCAGTTTTATTCATTTGAATATAGTTTTTGTGGATTGAGCCGAGTGTTATTTTAGATACCATTTTGTCAAATAAACATTTCAGTACTAATGGTTCTTAACAAAAATACAAACACAAAACACACAAAAGTAATTGAAAGCTTTAAAAAAAAAGAAATCTACAAATGACTTAACACAAATTCAAGTCCTGAACAAATGAACATTGAAATGTAATCAACACAGTACTTCTTCTAAGGAGAAAACAAACAGGACAGGGAAATGACCAAGTCTGGTAACCCACACTACTGAATGTGTACTGTTTCTGGTCATCTGAAGCCATTCTATTTGTAGAGCACAAAAGGTGATTGCCTCATATGGAATACAGTCACTGTAATTAGAGAAAGCATGATTGACTTGTACACTCTAAAATGCTACATAATTTCATAAGCTCAGAATACACACAACCTTTAGTAGGGTGTTGCCTTCCTTGCCAGACAAGTTACCAAGTCAAAAAGAATACAAAATGCATCATATAATCCATTGTTTGCAATGTCGGTTACATTTTAACTAAATAATAGTGCAGACTTTCCAAAAGCAAATGTGCCAGTTTTGAACAAAGTTATCGGGGAGCTAAAAACTTTTTTTAATTAGCCTCAGTATCCTCGTGAAACTTGAAGATGATGGACTAAAACATTTCTGTTTTCTTTTAGCTTCTGGCAAAAAAATGAAATTCTTATAACATAGAATAAAAAGAGAAAGGTTTGTTAGAAAGCCAATATTTCACTTTCTGTGACTGGTATGAAGTAGTTACCAGAATTAAATCTATTAAATCATTTTAGTTGCTCGGTTTGATCATATACTTTTTTCCTTTTAAGTTTAGCTACTTGAATCACCTATAGCAACTGTGAAGCAAGAGAAAGGGATCCTGGAAGTCTTCTGTGTATGTAAATGTTGAAGCAAATCAGATTTTCAATTTAAGAACTGCCTGCACAAGACTAAATAGACAAGTGACCAGCTGCAGGTCCAAAATATGTGTCACTTTAACATTAAAGATCAATGGTTAAAGCTACATTTCAGTATCTTGCCTTGTAAGGTCTCCCTTAATTTTTAATTTTGTCGGTCTTTGTCTGTGTCCAAGGTCAATAAATATAATATTCATCAATATGAAGAATAGAGGTAGTATTACGCCATAAACAGTATGCTGTCATATGAGACTCCAAATGCTGCAAGTAGCCAAAAGACTGTTTTTGTTACAACCCAACTGGCTACAGAGCTTTGGCCGGCATTGAAAGTGGCCGTACTGCACTAATAACCACACCACTTTTACCAAAACTAGTTCACCAAGAACAGTGGGGAGATTTCAGGTGGAAGAATGCAGAGAGTTATAAATAGGTGCCATGCTGCAGGTTCCAAATTGAAGATAGTCTGTCTCAATTTGCTTCTTTGTTTCTGGGGTTTGATTATGGAGTGGTGGTGGTGGGCGGTTGGGTGGGGGGGTGCGGGGGATTGCAAGAGAGGAGAGAACCAGCTCCTCCTGATATAATGGAAGTGTGTATATGGCCATTAGGCAAGCACAGGATTGTGACTGGTTCCACCCGTTTACTGCCAAGAATCAAACTGTGCCCTGGATTAATTGACAGGTACACAAATGGCAACTGGATTGGGTGAAATGCCCTTTCCCACTTTGTGAATTCTCCCTCAGATCCTCACACTAAATCACACAAGAGCCAGTTGTATGTCATCTCCACCCTTCAGTTTAATCCATTTGCTAGAGTACAATATTTTCAGTTGAAATACTAAATTCTGGACTGTTCAGCTTTCTGAATCGCTATTAAAAAGTTTAGGGAAGAAGAACTCAGAGGGGGATAAGGGACCTTGGAAAATGAAATCTATGGCATGTTGGGAAAGAATGTTTACAGGTGAGGGTTGAAGCTGTAGTTTGTAAAGGAAATACTGCCACACAGACAGAACATTAAGTCACTTGTTTCTTTTACATGATCTAAAAATTCTAGAAACAGGAACATCCACACAAATACTTCATCATCCAGCCTTATACAATTACAATTAGAGTCGTTTTACAGCACCATTGTTATTCCAGGCACATTAAAAGATCACAAAATAGATCTGTTGATTATCAAATCATTCTACAGCAAGTCTAATCTCTAAACATGCAGATTCAAACAAACAGAGACCAACCTCAGGACAGATCTAACTCCAAAAAACAATTATTTTCAGGATGTCAGTGAGGTGTCCAGTTGCCAACCACTGGCAGAGTCACAACATTCTGTAAAAGAATCATCTAAACACTCAATGCATCGAATCACCTTGGGGAGAAGACTCCTTGCGCCAATACTTCTGCATTTATTTTTGCTTATGGAATAGCACTTCCTTTTCCGTATTCAGGAAAAATGGTACCTGGAATGCAAGCTTCTCACGAAGCCAATAATTGTATTGTGTTGCGCTCATTGTAGTTTGAATTTGTTGTACAACACTTCCATTTTCTTTCCAAAAGAGTACTATCATCACAGTGACCAGAAACCTCGGCTTATAGTATAGCCGTTACTCTAGTTGTCCAACATCCTTCTTGATTTCCCATAGCTTTTTGTTAGGAATCTTTCAGCATGTTGATTCGGGCATAAATTTTCAAAGCTGGCCCTAACTTAATGTTCATGGCAGTCATCAGATGATCTTCTTTGAGCAGCAAAAGGGCCTGGCCATCAATTTCCTGTGCCCGGAATTCATCAGCAATCTCCTGGCAACCTGAAGAGAAACAGACACAAGAACTTGACAGTCCTGGAATTTACACGTTCTTGGAATTTCAACGAAATGCTGCTTTCCCTTCTGGAAGCAAGTGTCAGGACAGATTAAAAACAGAAACTGCTGGAGAAGCTCAACTGGGGTCTGACAGCCTCTTTGGAGACAAAGACAGAGTTAACATTTCAAGTCTGGTGACTGTTTGTCTGACAGACGCTGCCAGACCTACTGAGTTTCTCCAAAACTTTATGCTTTTGTTTCACATTTCCAGCATCCATAATTCTTTGTTTTAGTGTCAATCAGGATAAAATCAGTGCATGCCATGTTTCTGAGTGCTATGAGCAATGACATTGCAAACCATTGCAGTCAAATAGAGTTGAGGCATTGGAGCATCACATTTCAGTCTCTTCAAGAAAGCTCAAAATTCAGCAACTTGTCTTTTTCAATTCAACATTCTTAAATGTGCAGCGTGATGTGTACAGTTTTGGAACAGTTTCCTGCTGATTATGGTCTAGGGATAATAAAACCATAAAGGGTCTCATCTTCCACTTGATGAATCTGTGCCATATTGCTTCTTATCCTTTAGGAACCAAGAAGTGATTACAGGGACTTGCAAAGAATGTGTGGCTCAGGCATAGGCCAACTGACCCGTATTGGGTTTTTTTTTTTAAAAAACACCTCACAGCACAACCTTCTATCCCTTCCCTTTAAATGTATCCGAGTAGCATCAATTGCATGCTGTTGTAGCAAGTTTTACATTCTCACCATTCGAAGGTAATTTTTTTCCTGAACTCCTGATTGGATTTATGAAAGATTGATTTCTGACCGAGTTTTGGTCATCCAACCTTCCCACAGCCAAGACCATCGTCTCACCTCTACCTGATCAAACCTATTCATAAGTTTAAAGACTTTGATCGCTCAGTGTCCGATCTGAACTTTAAGAGAAAAGTGAAATTGAAGAATAGGATAGAATAATGTCAAACTGATGAAGTGTGAAAAGTAGTGTGTAGGTACAAAAAAAAGTTTTTTAAAAAAAGGTTCTTGGAATGTTAGCCGTATTTCAAAGGCGGTGTAACACATGGAAACAAACATTATGCCAGAGTTTTATAAAGCTCTGATCCAACTCCATCTGGAGTAACTGACTTTATTTCTGGGCACCACACTTTATTCTTACACTGGACGTGGGCATCACTGGCAAGGCCAGCATCTGTTGCCTTTGAATTCAGTGTCTTGCTAAGGCTATTTCAGAGGGCATTTAAGAGTAAACCACATCACTATGGGTCGAGAGTCACATGTAGGCCAGACTGGGGAGTAGACTTCCTTCCCTAAAAAGAATATTAGTGAACTAGATGGGGTTTTTTCCCCCACATGGTCACCATTATTAAAATGAACTTTTATATTCCAGATTTATTAACTGAATTTCAATTCACCAACTACCAAAGTACGGTGTGAACTCATTTGGATCTCTGGATTACTAGTCCAATGACATCACCACTATAGTGCATCACTCATTGACAGAATTGGGCTTTTAACAACTGATGCTTATTTCATGGCTACTGTTACTGAGATTAGCTTTATATGCCAGATTTATTAATGGAATTCTAATTCCATCAGCTGCTGTGGTGGGATTTGAACTCATGTCCCAAAACATTAGCTGGGGGTCTCTGGATTACTAGTGACATTGGTATAGTGGCAAAGTCTGTCCTCAGGATGGCAATACTGACCTCAGGAGGGGACTCAGAGCAGATTCTCCTCAGTGACAAGATGATTTTGAGGAAAGGTTCCACCAACTGGAATTACATTCCCTTTCAATTGTAATGTTTAAGGCAGAACCTTAACGCCAGACTATTTAGGGATGATGTCCAAGAAGCATTTCCTGTCCCAAAAAACTGTTGGGGTTAGGTCAACTGAAAAATTCCAAACTACAAAGATTTTTCTTAAGGTCAACGATTATCAAATTGAACGGCAGTGTAAACTTATAGTGCAGAATGGCTTCCTTCTATTCCCATATTTGGGAATGTTTCAGAACAACCTACAAATCAGAAAGGACATGTGATGAATAGGAGAGGCAGAATGTGTTAATGTAATTAGTCTCACGGCTACAAAGAGAGGAATATTCATCTCCCTTCTCACAGCTAAAATTGTTTGGATGTGGACTCTGAAAAGAACAGGATTAGTTCGTCTTCAATGCTTATCAGTAGCCATTATCCAGGCACAAATTTGAAGAAAAGCCAATCAGCCAGGAGAGAGAGACGGGTACTCCTGGGATTTGTACATCTTTGGAAGTCAGCACCCTTAAAAGAGCAGGATTTAAAACTGACATTAAGGGCACTACACCCTGCTCATTCCAAAAGTCCACAATATTCCGTACTGAGACACATGTATACACAGTCACAACCTCTATACCTTCAGCTCATTTGTTGCATCGATAGCTTGTGCAAAGGCCATGCATTCTATGGGAATTACAGCCATGGGGGCAAAAGGATTTCCTAGTAAAGATCCAAAGACCCTAACAGAAAGGGCAGATAGAGGAAACAGAATTCACACAAACAGCAAAGAATATGTTGTAGCTACAAGTTTCAGAAGCAGATTAATGCTTCGAGTTATACAAATACAGCTTCTTAAGTTGATCCCAACACGTAAAATCTAAATAGATTTGATGAAATTAAAAAGGTCTTTACCTGGCAGTGAACGGATAAACTCACACACATCCTCCACATTCCACTTGGTGGGGTCATTGGGCAAGAAGTGGTGACCAATTCCCATTGGCTCTCGCACCCTCATATCATGAATGTCCAACTCTCGTTCGTTCTGGCGCCTCCGAGATGTTGAGGAGCTGGCAGAGATCGGTGACAGTGGTTCTTCATAGCTGGAGTTATCTGACCCTCTGCTGGAGTCCTCCTGATTTAACCCTACATTGGCTGGCGGCTGCTGGGAAGCGAAGTAAACATCATGGGAGTGACAGAGGAATAGCCCAAAGTTCAAAAATATCAGTCACAGGATCAAAACCTGGAATCCTCCTACCTAGCAACTTTGTGGGTGTAACTACACATCTGTCAAACTGCAGTGTTTCAAGGCAGCAGCTCACCAACACCTCCTCAAGGATGGTTAGGAACAACAGAAAATGTTGGCCCAGTGATGACCATATCCATAAGCAAATTAAAAAGACTGCATTCTTTTAAAAGGCAGAGCTAGCAGTTTCAAACTGTCTCTCGTTGTGAAAGCATGGTCTGTCAATAAAGTTTCTCTATATTTGTTGTAAATGCCTGTTCATGAACAACAACAACAACAATCTTTCATCCCCAGGAATCAAAGTACACAATTCTTTCAATAAGGTTAGAAGAACAAAAACAGGAAATATACATGTGTGAGCTCACAAAATCTGTGCAGGTTCAGGTGGTATGTGGGAGATGATGCCAAATTCAAACTCCATCCATAATGATACTGTGTCTAAACTCAGAAGTACAGAGGGGACATTTCCTGTGGATGCTGCACATTAGACTGACTCTCATATGCCTTGAAAGGGAAATATAAATCGCTTTTCTTCCTTTAACCCTCACCCTGAAAGCAAGTACGTATGGCCCAATACAGTTTTACAAGATCCCCATTTACAGGCTTTTTACCTGCTCTTGTGTGCGTATGTCTGTCTGTGCATGAGCATTTCATCACCAAGACTGATCCCATTGCTACCCAATACGGATATGCATACTTCCCGCGCGGACTCACTCGAATAACATTCAAAGTGGAAATCCCCTTGTAGCCCAGGGTATATAGAGACCACTTGCATCTCAAACCATGCAACTAAATTGTGACCCTCCAGGTTTTAAAATGAACTTAAACCCTAGCACAGCCATCATGTTAGTCCAATGTGTTGCTCAACATATAAAACACCCAATACTCTCATTTCCTCCCAATGCCAAATTGGCATGTGTTTGATGGCTCTCCTGCAATGCACCATGGGACATCTTACTACAGTAAAGGTGTTTGCAGAATGCATTTTTTTGTAGCAAGGCACAGCTTGTACAAATAATTGCTCAACTTTAGCAGAGAAAGTGTTTTTTTATTGGTGAGTTGAGCAGCTCCAGAGGGGGTTTGGGAGTATAATTGTGCACAAACCCATTGAAAGAACACTGGCCTTGGGGGAGATTAATTTAATCGGCACTTATGCTTTTTACTGGAATGATATTCTTGTCGATAGGTCTTTGATTCTTCACCAGTTGTATTCTTTATTTGTTTAAACAGAGTTATTCTTCTTTACTCTCTATCCTTGGGCTAGAAATGTTGATCAGCTGCATGTATTGTGTCCATCTCTAGGGCTTTTCTCATTCATGTTGCTATTCAGAGTGAACTGGCCAGCTGGAAAACTCAGCGTCTGAACACAATCAGGCACCGTGGAGAGGGCTATTCAAATGCCAATTCAGTACAGCTTCACTTTAATTATTCCTGGGCTCTGTCCTGTTGATAACTAATTGAAATTTTTGCTAAAATGACTTTAACACTGTCCTGACCAAAGCAGAGTTCACAATCTGGGTCTGCAGCTTCTCAACTCGATTTCTGCATTGAACAATCAAATAGCCTTTTATTCTTGGAGCATCTCTAACTGTCTGAAACACTTGATACAAACGTCTGAACTTGGGGTAAAATGCATAATTGCAGATAAAAAATGGTTGCTATATATTTTGAGATACAAAGTTTATTAATAGCCTTCTTGTTATACTATTGAATGGCAGAGTTGTCTCAAGTGACCAAATAGCTTACTCGTGATGATCCTGGGCCTCCTGCAGTGCCACAACGATGCCACCCGAAGGTTGCAGGAACAGCAACTCATATTCCGCTTGGGAACCCTGCAGCCCAATGGTATCAATGTGGATTTCACAAGTTTCAAAATCTCCCCTCCCCCCACCGCATCCCAAAACCAGTCCAGCTCGTCCCTGCCTCCCTAACCTGTTCTTCCTCCCACCTATCCCCTCCTCCCACCTCAAGCCGCACCTCCATCTCCTACCGACCAACCTCATCCCGCCCCCTTGACCTGTCCGTCCTCCCTGGACTGATCTATCCCCTTCCTAACTCCCTACCTACACTCACCTTTCCTGGCCCCATCCCCGCCTCTTCGACCTGTTTGTTTCCTCTCCATCTATCCCTCTTCTATCCGCCTCCCACTCTCTCCCTATTTATTTCAAAACCCCCTTCCCCTCCCCCTTTCTGATGAAGGGTCTAGGCCCGAAACGTCAGCCTCTCTGCTCCTATGATGCTGCTTGGCCTGCTGTGTTCATCCAGCCCTGCACCTTGTTGTCTCAGCTTACTCGTGATCCTATTTCTTATGGTCTTACAGTCTTAGATTATAAGCTAATAAAAGTCATCTAAAATTCTGCTGGTTCATGCTCCTTGCTGGTCATCACTGTCTTTATTGACCTTCACTGTGCAGTTTCCTAACGCCTCCATTTAAAATTCTCATTGTTGCACTTCCCAGGTCTATCCCTCCTGCAACATTACAACTCCCTTCCCCAATTAAACCAAACCTCGACTCTGACCTTCTGTCCAACCTTTCCTCCCCTTGGTTCACCACCGATAGCTGTGCTTTCAGTGTCCTTGACACCATAGAATTTTCTACCCAAGAACATCTACCTCTCCACCTGCCTCTCCTCTTAAGAACATGCTTGAGAGCCACACTTTGATCACCTCTGCTAACATCTACATTTTTTGAAGCAGTGTATTCAATTTTTCTCTTCAAACATTTAAACCAATATTTTGAGACGTTCCTTTGCATTTAAAGGCAAATGCAGAGGTTTTGTTTACCTTCCATGGCCACGGGGCATTGAGATAATTTGCAGCATTTCTCCCAAATTGGGATTAGTTTAGTAAACACTCTGGATGCAAGAGCAGAAGTAGGCCATTCAGCCTATTGCATCTTCTTCACAATTCAATCACAGATTGAAGATTGAACCTGGTCAGTATTGTTGCTCCATGCATAACAGTGCATCTGGCCAAGTTCTCAGACTTCCTTCAGAGGAAAATCAAATACAACTAATAATGCAAAACCGACTGCATTTTGAATGATGTTGTGACTTTACCTTCGGTTGTTTCTTGTGTTGCTCTTTATTGGCATTGTGCAAACTATTCTTCCTTGGCCCTCTTCGCCCTAATTTGCCTCCTTCCTTCTTCTGCAAGTATTTGCTTTTATCGGGTTTGAAGAGACCCACTCGTTTACTGCAGCCAACATTGTACCTGTGAACAAAGTGGATCACATTCAATGTTGTCACTTAAAACACCAGGATTTATCCAAAATGCTTCCCTGATCCTTTACAGGAATGAATCCCCAGTGGCTAAGCTGACAGCTTCAGCCGGACACAAGAATAAACGTAAATACGCAGCCTCAACAGCCCTCAGGGATAAAGAATTCCCTAGATTCACCACCCCATGAGAGAAGAAATTCCTCCTCATCTCTCTGTTAGATGGCAAGTTTATGAAGTTGAATGACTTGACCATATTGGCCCGGAAATTACTAAGCAAGCCAGAGACAGAAATTCCTGGGAGGTTTAATGAGAGATCATCAGGTCTCAAATTTCAAATTAAGGTTTAGTACAGATGCTACTGCAATCCTGAAAAGGTAAATCTCAATCACCAACACGAAGTTTTGATTATTTTGAGCTTTTGCTGATAGTTTACCTCTTCGCACAGGCCATGGAGCAGAATCGCTTTGATCCCTTAAACTTATGAGCGTAATCAAGCCTTCCGCAAAATTCACACTTCAGTTTGAGAGCATCCTCTTCCTTCTCCTTTGAGTCTGAACAAAAGGTTGAGAATGGTCATTGAAAAAGACGCAAAACAAAACTCTTATGAAGATGTGTCATCTGAAATATTAACAGAATATCATGGACTGCGCATATATCTCCTTCTCAGACCTTTTGGAAACAACACTCTACAGCAGGGAAAGATGTTGCATTTGCAACGCACACAAAGTGCTCATCTGGAGTCACTGAGTCCACAGCACTTTGAGAGAAGGTACGTGCCACAGTTTGTTGGTGTAATAAAGCTACGAATTTAAACACAGATAGTCAGAGATATAATTTCCCTCAGGAGAAAGAGACTTCTCCCCCTCTCCCTGAAATCCCTCTCAAAGTGTGTGAGTAGAAAGTTGAACAGAAGATCTCATCGCAAGTGGAGGATCCGTAAAAGGAGAATTTGAAATCTACACATCTGTCTCCAGAAAAGTAACTTCAGCCAGCCGTAACTTAACCAGGATAACACCCCAGTGCCAACAGCTTGTGTGCAAAGTGACTTTATCCTCAATGTTGGTCTGTAGCCAGTCTGTGAATAATTCTTTGTTTCAGGTTGTAGCCTTGCTCGCCGAGCCGGTGGGTTTGGTTGCAGACGTTTGGTCGCAGACGTTTGGTCACCCTGCTAGGGGTAACATCGTCAGTGCGCCTCCAGCGAAGCGTTGGTGTTCTGTCCCGCTTGTTATTTATATGCCTCGGTTTGCTGGGATGGTTGGTATCACTTCCAGTTCTGTTTATCACTGGTTTGTATATCGGGTCCAGTTCAACGTGTTTGTTGATGGAGTTCCGGTTGGAATGCCAGGGCTCCAGGAATTCCTTGGCATGTCTGTGTTTGGCTTGTGCTGTTATAGGTGTGTTGTCCCAGTTGAATTTGTGTCCCTTGTTGTCCACGTGTATTGAGACCAGTGAGAATTGGTCATGTCTCTTGGTGGCTAGTTGGTGTTTGTGTATCCTTATTGTCAGTTTTCTTCCGGTTTGGCCTATGTAATGTTTCTCACAGTCCTTGCATGGTATGTTATATATTATGTTAATTTTATTGGTTGTGGGTATGGGATCCTTTACCTGCTTCTATGGACCCCCCAAAAAGGTACACAAGCCAGGGGTCCCCCTCAGATCCATTATCTCACTACCAGGTACACCAACATATAGACAAGCCAAAGAACTACAAGAGAAACTGAAAAGCCAGGCAGCAGAGGAGCAGGAAAGCTGACGTTTCGGGTCTGGACCCTTCTTCTGAAGAAGGGTCCCTGAAACGTCAGCTTGCCTGCTCCTCTGATGCTGCCTGGCTTGCTGTGTTCATCCGTCTCTAGATCTTGTTATCTCAGACTCCAGCATCAGCAGTTCCTACTATCTCTAACAGAAACTGAAGTACTTAGTTGACAACACTACCCATTCCATGCACACCTCCCAAGAATTCCTCAACATCAAGGACACCAGAATAGAAGAGGATGAGATAATGATATTCTTCAACGTAACAGCACTATTTACATCCATAAATATTGACCAAGCCAAAGACACAATTGCCAAACTGCTGGACGAATCAGGAAGGCAGGCACCCCATGACACCAACAGCATCAACAAGGATAGCACTCAAACTGCTGGATCTGAACCTCACAACCCACTTCACCTTCAACAACTGTACATTCAAACAAATCAATGGAACACCAATGGGGTCCCCAATATCAGGACTGATAGCAGAAGCAGTAATGCAAAGGTTAGAATGGACAGTACTCCCAACTATCCAACCCAAACTCTAGGTCCACTGTGTAGATGACACCTTTGTCATTATCAAACGCACAAGACTAGAAATAACCCACCAACACATAATCAACATCCTCACCGGAAGAAAATTCACAGAAGATGAAGAGAACAATAACCAACTACCCTTCCTAGACACAAGGGTAGAACGCAAGAACAACGGGGAACTCCAGACCAGCATATACAGAAAGACCACCTATATGGACCAGATACTTAAATTACACCAGCAACCACCTCAACACCCACAAATGGAGCTGCATCAGGACATTATTCAAACACATTGCAGCAACCTGGAATTGCACAAAGCAGAACAGGCGCACTTATACTGAGTTGTGAAAAGGAATGAATATCCAAAAAGCACAATCCACTGTTGCCTCTGCGACAGACCACAACAAGACGACACAACACGGCCAGACACACTAGTCACTCGATTGTACATCAGAGGTGTCTCAAAAATGACCACAAGACTACTCATACCCATAGGTATCAGGGTAGCCCACAAACCAACAACCACCCTGCGACAGCTACTGATGGATGTAAAGGATCCTATACCCACAACCAATAAAATTAATGTAATATACAACATACCATGCAAGGACGGTGAGAAACATTACATAGGCCAAACTGGAAGAAAACTGACAATAAGGATACACAAACACCAACTAGCCACCAAGAGACATGACCAATTGTCACTGGTCTCAACACACATGGACAACGAGGGACACAAATGCGACTGGGACAACACATCCATAACAGCACAAGCCAAACAGAGACATGCCAGGGAATTCCTGGAGGCCTGGCATTCCAACCGGAACTCCATCAACAAACACATTGAACTGGACCCGATATACAAACCACAGAAAAACAAAACCAATAGTAATGCCAACCACCCCACCAAAGCCAGGCATATAAATAACAAGTGGGACAGAACACCAACGCTTCACTGGAGGCGCACTGACGATGTTACCCAACAGGGTGACAAAACGTTTCAAACACACTGGCTCGATGAGCAAGGCTACAACCTCATCCACAACCCGAGCTACAGATCTTCTCAAAAGCTTTATTGTTTCAATTTACCTAAAAAATAACACATTGCAGAGCTTTGTTATTTTCTCCCCAGACTTGGAGGGTGTGTGTTACTTTTCAAAAAGCTTTTACCGTTTAAATCTTTAGTTCTTTGTTTCTTAAATAAGGAACCTGGCTGACATTTCTTACAGTGAGCTATATACATAGCGACATTTAACTGACAATGTCTGCCGTCTTTTTAAATGTAAACCTTGTTGCAACTAAGAAGACTGGGAAAAGGAAAATGAATCATTTCTCCCTCCTAACTGGATGATCACAACAGCCAAATGATCCAGTGCAGGGAGATGCTCTGTGCAGGGAATATTTATATTCTATGGTCAAATTACAATCTAATGGGTTTCTTGAAACTGAAAGCTCTAGTATACAAGGAATATGGATTAAGGGTACTCTTCACTGGGGTAAACCTATCGATCTGCAAGTTCCTCTCCAAGCCACTCGCTATCCTGACATGGAAATATAAAGCCATTCCATTAGTGTGACTGGGTCAAAGACCTGGAGCTTCCTGCCTGACAGCAATGTGGATGTTCCTACAGTTCACCACCATCTTCTCCAGGGCAAGTAGGGACGGGGAATAAGTGCTGGTCCTGCCAGCAATGCCCACGTCTCCAGAATGAATTTTAAAAAAAAAATTATAACTAGATAGAAGACAAAAGGAATAAAGCTGTTGGTCAGAAAGTGTCAACTTGTGTTCTGCGGGTCACACCAGAATGACTCAAAAACATCAAATTTAATGAACACGGAGGAGCACCTTTTTTTTTAAAATAGTAAAGTAAAAAAGACCAAAGCTGCACAGCACACAACATCAATAAAGCTAAAAAAATGTTGAAAGAGAAGAAAATTCAAGTGGTAATTTTCATTAATATGAAGCTTGGGTTTTTAAAAGATCACGGTTTCTGGGTTCAGCATGGATGATGTCTACATGCAGAGTGTTGATGCAAGAGTTGGACTAGAGATTGTGGAGTTCAGCAAATCTGTGTTCTCCACTAATGATGTTGTTTGAAGTGGTTTAGAAAGAGTCAAAGATTTGATCGTTTTTGAAGTGATAGACAAAAGCAGCAATGGCAAGTGTGAGGTACTCTCTCAAACAGCGAGTGGTGAGGATCTGCAATGTATAGCCTGACAGAGGGTGTTGGAGGAAGGTTCAATTTGGAGGTTTTCAAGAGGGAATTGGATTATTATCTGTAAAGGGAGAATGTGCAGGGTTAACCAGGAAAAAAGGGAGTGCTGCTCAGTGAATTGTTCATTCAAAGAGCCAGCAAAGACATGCTGGGCCAAATGGCCTTCTGTGCTATAACAATGCTATAATTCTGTGCAAAGATTCAGCACTGTGATTGCCTTTGCTGCCACCAGCAAGTCTGCCCACACAGGTGGTCCCTTGGATGGCCCTACTGCTCCTGGGCAGGTACCCTGACATATGGGTATAAGGACAGGTACCTCTGGTACAAGGGACACTATCTTCTTCCTCCAACTGCAAACACTCCAGGAGAACCAGTCAATCCAATCCTTGTGGGAGGAATTTCAATTGCAACAACGAATGTGCTGACTTTCTCACAAAGCCTGGACGGCTTCGCAAACACAGTCACATTCCCAACGAGAAATAACATACTCCAGCTGAGTTCCCCACATTTACCAGCTGGGAATTGGGGCATTAAATCTGCAGGAAACTGATGAAAGGAATCCCTATCCCTGGCATATCTCAGTGCCCTGAAAAATCTATCAGAAAGTTTAGGTATAACAATGATCTAAGTAGCAATAATCAAATTAAAAACAAAAAAAAACAAAACGAAAAAAAAAACAGCAAGAATGGTCACAAGATAGCAGGAACTGCAAATGCTGGAAAATCCGAGATAACAAGGTGTAGAGCTGGATGAACACAGCAGGCCAAGCAGCATCAGAGGAGCAGGAAGGCTGACGTTTTGGGCCTAGACCCTTCTTAGCAACTGCTACAGTGCATTAGATCCAGAGAATTGTAACTGAGCAGTATTAGTGTCCGTTATACTAGTTAGTGAGAGGTTGTGACAAGGTTTTTCTAGAGGCCTGTCCAGATGTTGCAGAGCTACAAAACTAAGGCATTTTCCAAGTCTTAGACATTAGAAAAATCAAACAGAAATGACAAATAAAATGAATGCAAGAACACTCTCCCTAATAGTGACCAAACAAGTGAAGATCAGTTCTAGGGTTTAGTTCACCAAGCAGTCCTGCTACATATCAGAAGGGAATTGCTCATTTTCAGTATGAACCTTGCTGGCTGAGGTCATCCATCTCGGAGTCGGTGTTATTCAGCTGCGGTAGTTTCTCTGCTGGCTGCACAGATGCCTGTTGCTGTTGCTTTTGTTTTGCCAGATTTTCAATCAGCAATGAAGAACGGCCAACCTGAAAAACAGGAAAACCAGAACAATTCTATGCAGCTTCCGTGGGTTGGTGCTCCCAGTGCCAAACATCATCTCATCCCAAAAAGAAAGGGAGTCCCGAGGACCTTTCTTTCGGTTGCTGCTATTGCATATCAAAGCAAGTACCAGGAGGTCTGGTTAAAGCTGTTCTTCCCTCACTCTCTTTCCTGGCATACAACTGAGATTAGGAGATTACAGGTCACCACTGAAAATCCACAGCCAAATAGTATGTTAAACACTCAGGAGGCCATTCCTTAAGTGGTGACTGTGATCAATATTATAACTAAATGGAAGCAACAGCCAACAATTCTGTGGTTAATCTAATGATCGATTCTGCTGGAACACTACAACACTCCTACAACTGGTTTCTTCAACTGGAACCTGCATGTTGATTATTTGGTACAAGCTTGATGAATAACAGATTATAAATTTCTGAAAGTAATATGCTGAAGTGCTATTGGACAATCATTAGTCAATGAACGATCTTATGCTGAGTGACTATGTCATAGACTCCTTTATATTCCCTCCCTACTCCAAGTGAGGACATTGACCCATTCAAGGAGCGACAGTAGGCCTTTCTTAAAGGACTGTTCTTTCTGAGATACCACAGTCATTAGTAAATGTTAGCAGCAGATTTCACAATAGGATGTATCACAATTAAGGCCAATACCCCCACACTATCACTGGGCATGCGTGTGCTGATATTATTCCATCTGAAGCCCAGGGGTGCTGAGGCTAACTGAGATTAGCTGACTCAATTATACTTTACAGAAGGGCCCACTGAGTCTGCAATGATGATAAACAACTCTAAGCCTACACTAGTCCTCTTTCCAGCACTTGGCCCTTAGCCCTGAATGTTATGCCATTTCAAGTGCTCATCCAAGTACTTTTTTTTGTTATAAATGAGCATCTAAGTATGGAACCTTCCTACTTTGTGGATCAAACCCTTACTAAATGGACTTCAACGTGTCATTCAGAACAACCAGTAGAATGGAGAGGAAAAGCATATTCCTTCACATCCAACCTCCCTCTTCTCATAGAAGGGTTGCTAGCTGATTTGAATGGTAAGAATGATGGAGGGTCTTGAATTAGATTAACCTCATTAGGTCAGCTTTCTCAACTGCAATTAAACTCTTGTTTTTGTAGGTAACATTTCAACATCAGTAGATGCAACTCTGCAGAAAGTTGCTAGGTGTCAAATCCAGATGGAATTGAGGAAGCTACACTGATGGAATAAACTCAGGCCCTTCTGTTTCTTTGAGTGGTTATAGAAGATTGCATACCTGGATCACCATTTGAAAAGGAGGGGAAGGAAGGGGAAGAGGACATCTGATTTTTGGTCATTAGTGGAGACCAAATAGGAAATTTGAATGTGAAAGAAACAGTTTTATTTTCCTGTTTTTTTTTTTAAAATTGTTTAAACCAAATCCACAGCTGCATAATTTGTAGGTCAATTTGCAGTTAGAACTGACACTGAGGAAATGAGCAGGCTCAGTATCTGGCTATTTTTAAATAAACACAATTAAATGAAACAACAAAAATGTGCCAACCCAGCCTGTATTTTATGATATGAAGAACTGCCAGCTAATTTGAATGGGAAGAATGATGGAGGGTCCTGTATTAGATTAACCTCAAAAGGAAAGGAAATAGCTTTGGTCTTTATGTGACTCCTGTCCAAACCAACATGTTTGTGCTTTAACCACTGTCTGAAACAGCCAATAAGACACAGTTATTACCAAACATCAACTAACCAGGGATTAACAGGAACTGCTGGCCTTAACAGTGACACCCACGTCTCAGAATGAGGAAAAAAAAATACACAAGTAACGTGATGATTCAAAAGGAAGACATATAATGACATTTCAAAAGAATAAGAAGTCAAACGAACAACGGAGCCAATCTGGATAGTGAGGGAGTTACCGATGTTAGTCAGACTAATTAGTCAATGCCTTACCTTGGTCATTGGGGAATCTGTAGTTGTACCAGAATGGATACAGGCAAAAAAAAAAAAACTGGGTTTTCAAACATCAGAAATAACATTAGATGGACCCAAACTAGATACTGATACAAGCTATTTAAACATTTAGAATGTCTGACCATGTACTTTAGAGAAGGCTCTCTATTTTATTTGCTATTGATTTTAATAAACTGTGACCATTATGTCTCTTAGATGTCCATTCACAGTCACCAATCTTTATATTTTTTGCTTAACTCATTTCTTTTGACTCTCTCTCTAGAGGTTTTCTTTGGAATTAGCTGCCACAAAGATCAGTGAATGTTTAGTCATTGACTATATTCAAGACAGAGATTAATAGATTATTTTGGGGAGTTGGATTATAAATGATTTGAGGGATATGGGATAGGGTGGAAATTGGAACTAATGTTAGGGTTTTGCCACAATGTTATTGAATGGCAAAGTGGGTTTGAGAGGCTGTATCATCTCCAGCTGCTGCTATTAATGTTCTTATTTCCTATCCCCTCCTACTGCCTGAGCATTCACGTTCTTTTTGAATTGGGTTCCAAAGGTGCCAACCTCCCCATAGTAACTCACCTCTAAGTGGATTGTACTTTGTGCCTGCGCTGACATGATGTAGTGTGGACTTTAGGGAGTGTCACAGCTACTCTGCACCCTCTCCACACAGGTATATGCTCCAAGGACGATCATTAAACCAAAACTGACAGGAGCTGTACTTCTTACTCATTTCTCCCAGCTCTTGGCCAGTGGCACCATTCTGAGAACGATGTTGTGTGACGTAGACCGGGATCAAACTCAACAACGTATCATAGAATCTCAGAATGAAACAGCACTGGAGAAGGCCTTTTGGTCCATCGAACCCGCACCACCATGAGAACACAGACCATCTAGGACTCAACATTTCCCAGCATGAGCCCCTTAAACCCTCGATACCATTACCCTGAAAACTCTAATCAAACATATTCAAGCGCTGGTTCTCCCCTATCGTTGGGCTTTCACACCAACTAGATTTCTGCTTTACAGAAATAAAAACAGCTTTGTAGCTCTTTCTCTTCCACTTCTTTTGATCTTCCAAGTGCCCACGTTTGCCTCTTTCTGTGCCACTAGCTCCTGCAGATCACATGGTTTTTGGGGGGAGGGATAAGGAAGTCTCCATAGTGTGTCACACAAGGCAGTGCAACTGTGTGGAAATGCTACACAGACCAGGGAATCCCTTGCCTTTCCTGCACATTGTTCTTATTGTTAGCTCACCAACACACACACGCGAATGCCACCCTCATGTGACACCAGCTGCCCCCAGGGTTGTATTTTCTCGAATTCAGAGGTCATGGGTTGAGGGGTTCAAGATCTTCGGAGAAGTAGACAGGGTCACAAGAGAGAAACCACCTCACCTGCCTGGTGAGTCTGGAAAGGGTAGAATCTACAAAGAGGAATTAAATTCAGAGACACTGACACAGAAGAGGTGGGAGGGGTCTGGAGATCACTCCCACAAATGGCAACTGATACTGAATCACTGAAGTTCCAGATTCATGTATTTTTGATATGTAAAAGATATTACGGAACGTGGGGCAGGTCAGGTGTATGGAGTTAGATAGCAGACCAGGCACAAGATTAGAGAGATCGCAAGGATGAACTCCAGGGCTAAATGAACTCTCCCTGTTCCTTTGTCTAAATGTGGCAATTTCTCATAGGCTCTGAACAATTAAAAATCAATCAAATCGAAATATGCATTACTTACACCCAGGCAGGTCTGCAAGCAAAACTGGCGTAAACATGCAAGTTAATCTCAGAGCAGGTTACATAGTGACACACACTGGGGCTGGGGTGGGTGGGAGGGGGAGTTTGGGGTGGGAGAGTAGCAGCAGAGCAAAAAGCCAAAAGACAGGACACTGCCAGGGTAACATTGTTTAAAAAGAAAACAAACATTATACAGTATTGTAAAATAGAAAATTGAACACTCACAAAAATTGCCCATGAAGAGAGCGTCGATAGAGAAGGTTGTGGAAATCATTCAAAAAGTGGTTGAAACATGATGAGAAGAAAAGTACAGACACGAAAATGTCATTGTAAATAGTGCAAAATCTCCTGAAAGCTTTTACTTGTTTCGATTTTAAACTGCAAGTCAGAGACACTCCCCCACCCCCAAACCAAAAGAAAAACGACAGACACAGACACACAATGCTTTTACAGCCAGAAACACAAGGAGTTCATTTTAAATGTAACCTGTTAACATTGAAGGGGATGGTTTCTACCAGAGACCCAGTGTGGGTCTAGGTACCTGGGTTCAAATCCCACCATGGCAGATAGTAGAATTAGAGTTCAATAAAAATTTGGCATTTGAGAGTCTAAGGATGACCATGAAACGGTTGCTGATTGTCGAGAAAACCCATCTGGTTCATCACCATCAAGAGAGGAAATCTGCCAACCCTACCTGGTCTGGTCTACACTTGACTTCAGAGCCACAGCAACGTGATTGATTCTTACCTGCCCTCTTACTAATTAGGGCTGGGCAACCAATTGCTGGCTTAGCCCACATCCCGTGAATGAATTAAAAAATTCTGAGCCAGGGATGAGCATTGAATGGACCCACCCCACGCTCTCCTCCCACATTAACCCAAACCAAGGGCTCTCCAGTAAATCTACCGGAATCGAATGCTGAGGGTGTGCCATTGGAAGCACTGGTCAAACCAACCTTGAGACAGGGTCATTTCCAATAGGTTTGAGACCCAACTCAGGCAGCAGGAATACAGATGGTGTCGCTGACAGTGGCAGAACCCTCTTTGCTGGCCACTGGCAGCACTGGTGAGGTCTGCACCAGCCCACTTCACCAGTTGGGTTGATGTGCCAAGGGTTTTCCTGCTGTATGTTTGACAGAGTTCCAGCAGAAAGAGCTTAACGTTTAGTGATTCTTCCTTCACCTGGAAGGGCTAGGGGCAGGAGAGGAGAGTTATCCCAATATCCTCTGGGAGAAGATTGGTTCACAATGCCAGGCAGTGTTCTCCAATCTCAGGGAAGGTGAGGCAATAAGGAAATGGAGCTTTAATCAATGAGCTCTCCCTGCCTCTTTGCAATGGTCGAGCAGCAGTTTATGTCACTTCCCATGCAGTCTGCCTGCACGATCTTGATATTTCCTTATCAACCTGTTCACAACCTGACACACCTCTGGAGCAGGTGGGACTTCAATGTGGGGCTCCTGGCTCAGAGGTAGGAACACTACCAATGTCACAAGAGCCTGTACAATCTGAACGGCATTAAACAATAAACAAATAGCACTCCCAGGGTTCTTAATTCAGGTCCCATCAAATGAGCAGTTCAAAGGCAGATCCATTTCGTGCCTGTTTTTGCAATTTCCAGTTTGGGAATTTTGGGAATTGTTTAATTGTCACCCATCACTTAAATCTAGTTGTATAACTTCTTCTGACAGCTCTGCAATTACTTTACTGATGACTTGGACTGAATGGTCAGCTCCCAACGTAATTAAAGTTCTGTTACTAACACGCTGTCAGCCACAATGCAATTAGTAGCAAGAAAACCAGGAAGCCTTGTTATACACCAAATAACAAACACAGCCGACATAAATTTTGTAAGACGACACACAAGATGACAGGCTGGAAGACTTTCAATCATTCACACTGCTGCAGAGAACAGAATTAATGTCGATAGTTGGTTAAACAATTCTTAAACTGCTATTTAACCTGTAGACTGGGAACATACAGACAAAAGACAGAGTGCAGCAGACTGGAACAAGTGGAAGCTACACAAAGCCACAGCACTGTCTACATTCAGGAATTTAAATTGAAGCCCACAGTGAAGCTGAAATTCGAAGCTACTCACTGGAAAAGGTTCAGCCCCCTCCTGTATGACAAACCCTTCAATGACATGGGTCAGGATCTGTGGTTTGACAATCGCCTGGGGGGGTTTGTTCTCTGTGCTCTGAGGCACACTTGCAGTTACAGATGAAGTTGTGTTGCCATTCCCGGATGTCATGGTGGGGGCAGGGCTGGTGTTCTTTACATTAACACTCTCTGGAACTTTCCCTGTGATGGAAGAAACAACACAGTGTTACTACCAAAGAATCAAAATGCTACAAACAAGGGATCTTCAGCAAAGTTTAGATCGGGGAGCACACCCTATCGCTCTGCAAGATCTGCCAACACTATATAAATGGTGGTGTTCTCTGGAGCTAAATCAAAGGTTTGGCTGATGCTGCTGAGATTTATTCCGGTCCATTTTCTAGATACAGTGAGCTGGTAATGGAGGGAACCATGTGAAAGCAGACTGCTCTGCACTCCGACCCTGAGTAAGGGGCTGGTGCATTCACACTCAATCCCAAAAAGAGTTGAGCTTGTTGGCTGTTGCTGTTCCCAATGCTACAACAATGACTAATATTAGTTCTTACAATTGATGTGCTCTGGATTGTCATTAAGTCACAAACTACATCAAGGACCAGATCTTGCAGTTGTGAGGAAGGTGAAACCAGCAAACGTTCATCGCCTCTGAAACGGATAGCACCCTCTGGAAGCTGCACACAGTTATCAGCAGAAATTCAAAAGTTACTGCCAGACACTCTGTGCTTGCCCATATGGCGTGCTGTTCACAGAATTGTTAGTGTCGAAGCAGGCCATTCAGGCTGTTGTGTCTACACCCGCCATGCTTCTCAGTCTGCAATGGGAAATCATGGAACTGGAGCTCAGGCCTACTATAAAAACACTCGAGAAAAATCACACCGTATTTATTCGTTGTTTTGTGCAATGTGGCTTTGTTGCCCATCAGTAATTGCTGCTGAACAGAGCAGAAAATGTCCTTCCCTAAAAAGACCTTAAAGTCACTAAGGTTTTAGGGTAAATTTGTAGCTCGAGTTGTGGATGTTGTGATTGGTTAGCTCCGCAGAACAACAAACCAGTTCAGCGAGCCAACCAACCACAACAAAGACTTTAGTGAACCAGCTTTTCTCACAATTAATGATGATTTCATGAGAGCATCACAGAGACTTGCTTTTGTTTTAATTCCAGGTTATTTTTAAGTTAACTCAAGCTGCCATGGTGGAATTTGACCTCAGAACTGTGAACCTCTGGTTACTAGTCCACCATCTCCCCCTAAAATTGCTGATTGAAATGTAACTAGGTTTTTAATGTAATGCAAACAAATGCCAGGCAATGACCAATCTCCAACTAGTGCGAACCTGAAACATAGCACCTTGACATTCAATGACCATCACCATCATTGAAATCTCCTATTAACGATAAGCCTCATGGTCGTTAATCAGATACTGTAGAACATAGAACAGTAACATGCCCTTCAGCCCACCATGTCTGTGCTGACCATGATGCCATTCTAAACTAATCCCATCTGCTTGTACATGGTCGCTATCCCTCTCTTCTCTGCCTGTTCATGTGTCTGTCTAAATGCTTCTTAAACATTGCTGTTGTATCTGCTTCTACCACCTCCCCTGGCAGCACATTCTAGACACCAATCACCTTCTGCATAGAACAAGCGTTCCTTGCACATCTCCTTTAAACTTGCCCACCCTGGTAAAGCGACCATCTACCCTATCTATGCCTCTCAATTTTATTTACTTCTATCAGGTTGCCCCTCAACCTCTGACGTTTTAGCAAAACCAATCCAATTTTGTCCAACTTCTCCCTATAGCTAACACACTCCAAATCCAGGTAGCATCCTAGCAAATCTCTTTTGCACCCTCTCCAAAGCCTCCACATCCTTCCTGCAGTGAGGCAACTAGAACGGCAAACAGTACTCCAAAAGTAGCCTAACTAAAGTCTTATACAACCGCAACATGACTTGCTAGCTTTTACATTCAACTGATGAAGGCAAACATGACATGTGCCTTCTTTACCACCTTATCCACTTGTGTTGCCACTTTTCAGGGAGCTGTGGACTTGCACCCCAAGATCTCTCTGTAGATCAATGCTCCTAAAAGTCTGTTTACTGTATACAGAGTTGGGCTGTCTACATTTTGTTTCAAGAAACCCTCCTGGATGCACCTAACAAATTGTGCTCCATCTAAACCTATGGCACTAAGCAAGTCCCAGTCAATCTTGGGCACCCTCTATAACAACTCTGCTGTTTTTAATTCTTCCGTGATCTGCCCACATAGCTGTTCCTATATTTCCTGTTGGCTATTGGGAGGCCTTTAGTATAACCCCATTATGGTGACTATACCTTTCTTATTCTGAGTTCTACTCATAAGGCCTCACTGGATGAACCCTCAGTACAGCGGTGACATTCACCTTAATGTGTAATGCAACTCCTCTACCCCTTTTACATCCCTCTCTATCACACCAGAAACATCCAAACTCTGGAACATTGAGGTGCCAGTCCTGCCCTTCTCTCAACCAGGTTTCTGTATTGGCCACATCAGCATAGTTCCACGTTCTAATCCAGGCTCTAAACTCATCTGCTTTACCGGTCATTCTCCTTGTACTGAAATAAATACATATCAGACTGCCCCTCCTGCTGGTTCATTAATCTGGGCACTCCATATGCTGACCTACCGCTCTGGTTCCCACCCTTGTGCCAAACTAGTTTAAACTCTTCCAAATGACACTAGCAAATCTCCCTCCAAAGATATTGGTGCCCCTCCAGTTTAGGCGAAACCTGTCCTTCTTGTAGAGGTCCTTTCTGCCCTGGATGCCATCCTAATAATCCAGATATCTGAAACCCTCCCTCCTCTCCCAGCTCTTTTGCCGCATATTCAACTGTACTATCTCCCTATTTCTGGCCTCATTAGCATGTGGCACAGGGAGTAATCCCCAGATTACAACCCTAGAGGTCCTGTTTTTTATCTTTCCACCTAACTCCCTTTTCAGGGGCTCATCTCTCTCTCTGCCGATGTTGTTAGTACCAATAAGGACCAGAACCACTGGGTTGCTCACCTCTTCCTTCAGAATATCCCGTGGTTGCTCAGAGTCATCCTTGACCCTGGCATCAGGGTGGCAACACTTTATCCTGAAGTCTCTCTCAGTCACAGAAACACCCATCTGGCCCTGATGATACAGAGTGCCCGACACTAGTGCTCACCTACACTTTGACCCTCCCCATTATCTAACAGTACCAGTTGTGGTGCCACTGATCTGGCTGCTGCTGCTGCTTTCCTCTGAGAGGCCAGTGACCCCCTCAAAATATCCAAAATGTTACACCTGCCTGAGAGGGACTGGCACTGTGGGTCAACCTACAGCACATGGACTGTAGCGGTTCAAGGCTGCAGCTCACCGCCACCTTCTCAGGGGCAAGTGGGGACTAATTGCTGACCCAACCAGCAATGTCCATGTTCCTTAAATGAATACAAAGAATCATAATCGTTTTTGAACAGCATCAGTACCTGAATGAGAACCTGAGTTTCATATTTGCAGAACACCACATTTCCTCATGACATTTACATTTCATTTTTAATGTTTACTTTCTGTTTAAACAACTTATTTCAATTTTATTGAACTTTAGCTAGAAGTGAAAAGATCAGTGCTTTTACTTCTTGTTTGATATCTGAGAGAATACTTCAATATGATGTGGCTGTTCCACAGTTGCCGTTAACACCTAGCAGGGCCCCTTGACTTGGAGACAGATTTGGAAAAAAAACCGAGTAAGTGGAAGACATTAGAGACCACAAGGTTGAAATGGGCAGGTTTCTTCACGATCTGCAGCTAGTGTTATTCTGGCTGACTGGGCAGTATCTTTGTCCCTGTTCCAGACTGGTGTTGAGCTACCAGTGTTGCTGTCGCTGCATTTGTCCAGGTGAGTGATGAGGAGTTTAATCCCACTCCAAACACAAGGCTGTAACTTAGTTCTGGTGCAGGTGTTTACAGGTTTAGGCACTAAGCCACTCAAAGACCAGCGCTCTGACTTAGTAATGGTGCCACTGTTAAAATGTTACAAGCAAGTGGTTTCCTTTTCCCTGTCGGGCTCAGACCAGGTTAAAATCCTCTGGAGGATCTGAGGAAGGGTCACTGGGCCCGAAGCAATAACTCGGATTTCTCTTCACAGATGCTGGAGAAGCTCAGCAGGTCTGGCAGCAAACTCTATTTTTGTTTGAGGTTAAAACCCTCCTGTGCTGCCTAGCAATTGACTTTGTCGGCTCAAGGAGTGTTTGTGCCTTCTCCAGCTCTGGACCTACTTTCCCTCTTTACTGAGGGCTCATAACATTGAAGAAGTATTTAGATGTGCATTTACAATGCGAAGGCAAACAAGCTATAGTCCGAGTGCTGGAAAACAGGGTTAGAATAATTGTTTTTGACCAGCCCAGACTTGATGGGCCAAAGGGTCTTTTTCTGTAGATCTCCATGTCTCCTTCGCCACGTCGCCACCTCACTCCAACTGGAAAGACAGTAAAGTTGAATTTCAGAACCAGCCTCATGGAGACTGCAGCAAGTTTGAAAGGGACGGTATTTACCCTGGACAGGGTGAATCTAATTGAAACCAAACATTCTAACCAGCGTCCCTACCATCCTCCTGATCAAAAATCCTGTGGCTGTAACACCTCAGTGAGCAGGTGATGGGGAAAACACTGCTTTCAGGCCGCAGGAAGCTTCAAAATGCAGAATGACTGTCCACCGAGGCAGTGTAATCCCATCAGCGCAATACAGGTACACATTGGCCAAGCCCCACACACTCTGCTTTCTTATACCAGGGACCCAGAGGCTGGACAGATCACTGCAGGGCAACAATAACTAGCATTCATATAGTGCCTTTGATGCTTCCAACTGAACAGGAATATCATCAAGTGGCATTTTTGATTCCGAGTGATCTCAGGTGGGGTGTAGTAGTAGTGGTTGATTTTACAGAATGTCTTGACAGCAAGAGTGAGGTAGAAAGGGATCGGGGTTTACGGAGGGAATTCCAAAGCTCAGGCCCAGATAATTGAAAGCACACCTCCAATGGTGCAGACATTAAAATCAGGGACACTTAAGAGGTCAGAATTGGATGAGCACAGGGAATCTGGAGGAGATTGCAGAGAGGTTGCGGGGTGGCGGGGGAGCTGGGACCACAGAGGCATTTGAAACCAACAATGATGAGTTTAACATTG